ACGCACCCTCGTGCAACTGAGGTTCTTGTCGTAGTCGAAGGCACTCTCTATGTCGGCTTCGTGACTTCCAATCCTGCAAATCCAAACGTGAAGAACAAGCTCTTTACCAAAATACTGCATCCTGGAGATGTTTTTGTCTTCCCTGAAGGCCTCGTTCATTTCCAGTTTAATGTTGGGAAGAAGAAGGCGGTTGCATTCGCGGGTCTAAGCAGTCAAAATCCTGGAGTCATAACCATTGCAAATGCTGTTTTTGGATCAGATCCTCCCATTTCTCGAGANGAGGGAAAACACGGCATCCATTTTTTGTAGTAACCAAAGTACATTTATTTGGGGTCCTGATGTAATAAAGTGCATGTCTGCTCTAACAATCTTTATTAAGAATAAATGGTGATATAGTATTTATGTAATAGCTTCATAATTTTTTGCCTTGACTGTCAACAAAAAATTTATGGATGAAATTAGATATAATTATGGATTCCTGTCATGTTGTTATAATATTTGGTATCTTTAATTAATAGTTGTGAGCTAACTTTGAATAAAATGATGTGGACTGCGATATAATTAGCAATAAGTTTGTATGACAATATTTTATTGACCAAAGTTAAATATTTTTCGATCTCTTTTTTCTTATTTTTGATGGAAATTGACACAAATGGCAACAAATCGTGATTTACTAACCACTCTGAAAATTCATAATGAGCGGCTTGAATTAAACTCAAAGTGGTTAATCTGTCATTCTCAGTACTCACTAGAGAAAATAAAATGCATACGGGAAAATATGATTTCCATAAGTGGAAATTACACAAAATCAGAATTTTCAAAATTCAACTTCAAATTTCAGATACAAAGTTTCGCTTTTCAAAAATCAGATATTTCATCCCAAACCCTAATCAACTTCAAAAATCAGATACAAAGTTTAACTTTTCAAAATTAGATATTTCATCCCAAACCCTAATCAATTTCATCCCAATCCAATTTTCTTCCTCCTCTCTCTTGGTCTACTCTCTTCTCTACCGTCTTCTCTTCTCACTCTCTCTTAGTGTTCCACCAATCTCGCCTAGGAGGATGTTGGGGCGGCGCTGGCGATTTGGGGCTAGGCTAGGGCCTGGGTTGATATTGCCAACGTTGATAGCCGAGGTTGTGTTAGTGGTGGTAGGATGTTCGATTGGTGGTGGATTTGGAAATGTCGCTGCTGTAGTTGGTGGGTCGAAGGAAGTTAGGCCGTCTGGTGCCGGTATCTCCGTCGCCATACGGGGAGTGAGTGCTGTCGTTGTTTGTCGGGTTGAGATGAAAGGGAAATGGGAGAATCAGACTTAAAGGTTGGGTTTTACAGTGGGCTTATATGTTTCAACTTTGTGTTGGCGGTGGCGGTCTCCTCTCCTCACTCTCTCTTCTCTACCGTCTTCTCTCTTCTCACTCTTTCTTCCTCTTCACCAATGGAAGCGGCATCTAGCGGAGAACTGAGTGCCATCGTGCACAGCGCCAGATCACTGCTGCTGCATGGATTGACGGTAATGAATTTGAGGAGACGGGGGTGGTGGTCGCGGCGGTAGTGGTGTTGACGGTAATGGATTTGAGGAGACGGTGGTGGGGGTGGTGGTACAAGCGGCATTGGTGGTTGTGCTACTGTTGGCGGAGGTGGTGGTGTTGACGGTAACGAATTTGAGGAGACGGTGGTGGTGGTGGTGGTGATGGTACAGGCGGCATTGGTGGTTGTGCTACTGTTGGCGAAGGTGGTGGTCACAAATTGTTTTGTTGATTTGTTTAAGGTGGTGTTGCTGTCGAGAGGTGGTGGTGATGGTGGTTCTAGCAGCGACGGTGAGAGTGGTGCTGCTAGAAGGAGTGGTGAGGTAGTGGTCACAAGTTGGTGGTTGGTGGTGATCACAGATTATTTGGTCGTTTGTGACCATTAAATTGGTTAATCTATGACAACTAAACAATATGTGACAAATGAAAAAGATAAATTGTGACAAAAAAATAATGTGTGACCTAAAAAATTGTTAATTTGTGACCGATAATTTGACAATTTGTAACTGTCTACTAAGTTGTGACTTATAATATTTGTGATTTGTGACCAATGAATAAATAGTGCCGTATAATTTTTTATTTTTATTTTTTTTGTGACCGATGAACAAATTGTGCTTATAAAATTTTTGAATTGTGACCGTAAAAAAATTTGACTTATAAAATTTCTGATTTGTGATCGATGAACAAATTGTGACATATAAAATTTTTGAACTGTGATCGTACAATAATTTGTGCGTTTCAATTTTTTATTTGTGATCGATGAATAAATTGTGACCTATAAAATTTTTGAATTGTGACCGTAAAATAATTTGTGACATGTAAAATTTGTGATTTGAAACAAATTAATAATATGTGACTAATTATATAGAATTTGTGACCAAATTATATGGAATGTGATCTTAATATATTTAATTAATAAAATATATGTTTAATTAATTTATTTATAAATAAAATTTAAAAATATCTGAAATTTTAAACTTAAGTTCTTAAATTTGAAATGGGTGAAACTAAACCTCTTAATTATGAATTTTTCCCTTTCCATAATACCCATTGCACCATGCACAAACTGGAGGGAGAGGGGGGTTGGGGTGGGTATAGCCCAGAAGCAAATTCATGGTGAAAAATTAAAAAGAATAAAATTAGCCCAGCCCAAAAATTAATTTTAGCCCAACTAACTTCATTTCCAACCCAAGTCCAATGTTCAATAATTCAAATTTAGTTTAAAACTCTACAACAATTACATTTTACATATTTATTTTATTCATATTCATGATACACAAATACTCGTTATCAAATTAAATATTTTATTTCACACATATAAATATAACTAAGTTTAAAAAGTTCACTTATAATCAAATTAGTTT